ATAAATTAGTTTTCTTTACAGAATAGGATATATCTTTATTTATAAAATAGGAATGTTGGTATTATTGCCTACTATGTCAGTTTTGGAGTCCATTTTGTGAAACTCTCATTTTTGTATAACTTACGAAAAACTTAATTATTACAAAATTGCAAACAGTATTATAAAAATTGCTTAGACTATCTGATAGAAGACACTTTTTATTTTGTATTTATTCATATTTTTGAAGTTGTATTTTTACCTTTTGTTTAAGAAATATTGTCTAAAAACAAAGTGGTATGTCGGTATCGGTGACCTTCCTCTACTTCCTTTTTATCTTTGTAAATAAGTACCACAATGCGCGATTTTACATAAAAATTAAGACAAACAAAAAATTAAATAACTTTTAAATCAATAAAAAAATTGTACTTACATATTAATACAAACACGTTAAAAATTATATACAACATGGTATTAAATTTATCCGATGTTTCTTAAAGTGTACTAAATTGTTCGTGTCATTGCCAAATTCGCTATGCTACTATTAACTTTATCTAGAGTTTTGACATCAACAACCTTCAGATTAAAATTACTATCAGAAATTAAAATCGCAATCAAAAATCTAAACACTTTTATTATATAATATGATTGGTATCTTTCCATTGCAATCAGTTCGAATAAAATTGATGCAGCTTATACCATGATCTGGAAATCGTGTTCTAAAAAGAAATCATTTCAGCTTTTCAAATTTTTTCAGTCATACGTGTGACACATACATATAAAGCATACATATAAATTTTGTCCATTAAGCTGTTTTTCACAATGCCTTTATACAATTTTAATTTTAATACAAAATTAAAATAAAATTAGCAACGAAAGTGAACCTTAATGTGCATACAGGTGTAATTTATGTACATGAGACAAACAAACAGGGAGAGGATGAGAGAGAGCGAGATAGAGAGAGAGAGAGAGAGAGAGAGAGAGAGAGAGAGAGAGAGAGAGCGAGAGAGCGAGAGAGAGCGCAAAAGAGAAAACAAGAGTGTAAAAGAGAGAAAGTGAGGACGAAGAGAGAATGAGAAAAGGCGAGAGAAAGATTACAAATCTTAATATTAAATCCATATCTTCGTCAAAAATTTGTATTGGTGATAATGTTTATAAAGTTAACAGTGCAATTCTTCATTATGGTAAAAATATAAATGAAGGATATTATACAAATTTATTGCGAGCTGAAGATACAAAATGGACATCCGTAAATGATTTAAAAGTCGAGATATGTAAGTGGCCTCGAAATGCTAAGAACGCATATATATTTTTCTTAGAACAAATCTAAATAGTAAATTATCAATATATAAATAACCCAGCTGTTTTTTATCTTCAGTATATTTTTTCAATAAAATAGATTTACTGCTAATTGACGGTATTATAGTATAACGTATGCGAGAAAAACAGAAATAAAAATAACAAAGGAAATCGTGTTCTTTTACAGTAGAAATAATTCTGTTTATGACTCAAAACTGTAAAATAATAATGTGAAATATCATAAAAGATTATGTAACTGCTTAAAGATTACTGCTTTATGTAATGTTAGCTCGCAGAAATTATTTTTGAAAGAATTTAGAAAAAATATAAAACATACAGTACAGGCAATAGGAGTCAACGCTGGTTATTATATATATATATATATAATTAGCGCGATTATCAATTACTAAAAATATAAAGTATTTTTAGTATTAAGAAGAATTGCGCTAATTGATAACCAGTGTTGACTCCTATTGCCTGTATGTTTTATGTTTTCTCTAGATGAATACAATATATGTGTGCTTCCACCAAATATCTAAAAAATTAACATTACAATATTTTGCATGATATATGTGGTGATTAAAGGTGCCTTAATTAAAAGTACCTTTAATCACCACATATATTATGGACAAACTTCGTAATTTTGATTTCTGGGATATATTTCTTAAAAGACACCTTTAATCACCACAAATGTCATAGACTGCAGATACTATAATTCGATATACACCAATAGATGGAGTCATGTCGGCTCCTTAAACGCGAAAAATCGCGTAATGTAAGCGCAGGGGAGATTGAATTAACCCGGATCTACAGATCGCGAGTCAATTGCACCGAGCGGCAAGCCACTCGACGCCTCGAGTATCTTTGACGTATCATATCATAAATAAATGACGATGTTGTGGTCTGTTCAATATTTGCTTTATTTGTTTAGTCATTATTACGTTATTTTCATATTCCAAATAAATACTCCAATACTTTAAACATTTTTATACATTTATAAAACAAAAATGGATAGGAAGAAAACATCCTAAAAGACATACTAAAAAGTGTACAATAAAAGAAAATTTAAAGAGAGTACATCATATATATGCTATAGATTAAAATGTACATCCACACATTATTATAAATTATTTCTCAAAATATGGAAAACAGATAGGTAAAAACCTGAAAACCTTGAAAATAAAGTACAGATATATATTTATTTATATTTATTTATATTTAAAAGAATCTTTAAGAAGATAAGCAGAAATATTATACATATACATAATCATATACAATACTACTTCCTGAATTTAAATAAATTTATTTATTTTATATTTATATATTGTTATATATTGTAGTACATATAGCTGTATCAAAACAGTATAAATCGCGCGCATAGTAATTTAAATAAGTAAAACCTCATTATCCAAGTTTGATTTACCAAACAGTCGCATATATGCGGTACTAGGAAATGACAGCCGAATACATTTGAATATTCTGTAATCTAATAAATAAACGAATATGTTGTTAAATATGGGGAAATATAAACATGGACAGAACGTAGGATAGTAAACAAGAAAAATGCTGTATTCTAGAATCTAATTTTGTAGAATAAAGAATATTTTCAATATTTAGATGGACTTGCCTCTGGGAGATCTGTATTCTTTAATAATTTAATGCTTAAATTTATTTACAATTTTTCAGCACATTATTAAGAATGGTTTGTCAATTTAATTTAATTCGTGATGT